GCATCCAGACGGGAAAACTATCCCGACTGTGAATATACATACTGTGTGTACACTGATTTGATCTCAGTATATTGTCTATAAATATGTACACAGTATAATACACTCACATATCCGGACGGTTTTTCCCATTTGAATGTCGACATAATAATTTTCTCATAAATTGGAGGGTTAGATTACAAGACATTGATCATAAGTTCACACTTCTAAGATTTTATTACTAAGTTAGTTAATTCTATTCTTATTATATTAATTAATGCATTTAATAATACAATTAATAGTTTTCTAATAACTAGATGCCCACAAAGATAACCAAAATAAGAAAATATTTGATGAAAAATGGGACAAACAAATTTATTTTGCAGTTAGATAAACTTAGTTTGATTATTTTTTAAGGGTCTATTTGGATGGCTGTAGCTTTTTGTAAAAGTGATTATATGCTATTATGCAGAAAATAATTTTTTTTTTAAAATATGTTGTAAAAGGTAGCTTACTAGCATTGAATTTTTTTTTTTTAAGTAGCAAATAGAAATAAGGTTGTGATATGAAAAATAAAATAGTAAAAAAGTTTATCCCAAACATACCCTAAAATGAGGAGGATTTAGAAAGTGTTTAAGAATATTCAAGATAACCAGATAAATTTTTTTTGAATTTATTTTATATTTTTCATAATTAATGCTAATATTCTAACTATTAATAAAAATATTAAATACTTGAAAAAAGAAACAAATAATTTTGAAAGTGTCTAAGATATTTTGAGATGAAGTTTGAAGTGAAAACCACACATGCATGATGCCATTAGTGCATGAATTCGATTTTTCATATTTATTCAATTTTCTATAAATTAAAAATAAGGTTTTTCAAATTGAAAATTGAAACTATGCAAGATGATTTTTGGAAATCATTGTAAATGCACTCAATGACTTGTAATATTAATTTTAAGAACCCTAAATTTATAAGGCTATTTAAGGTATTTTTATATATTTAATTATTAAAAAATAAAATTTTTTAATTATGATAAATATGAAATCACTCTTAAGTAATTCCAAAAAAATTAAAGAATGCTTAAAACAAAACTTAAACCTAAGGGATACATGCCTAGGCTATGGACCTACCCAAGGTTAAAATAGTAATTTAATATCAAGTGGATTTGCATTTCAGAAAAAAATGACCACCTTGAAAAATTTCAAAGATATGTACACTATGTTAATGAACATCACCAAATTTTTTCTGAGTTTTTTTAATTTATTTAAATGAGTCTAAAATAAAAATAAGAAAAAATCATTATTTTTAAATCATTTTCAACAAAACATCATCAAGCTTAAATATAATAATAAAAGTCATATTAAGAGTCAAAAACTCATTTAAATATAATAAGAAAAGTCATTTCTAATACTTTATAACTAAGCCTTTTTTAGGCGTACCTCTATCTTTTTAAACATAGGCTAGATCTAATACATCTACTGTCCTAACTAGGTCATCAGAAGGCCGACGTTTTATGTGATCAAACCATCTAAAGGTGATTCTTTGTATCTTATATGTCACTAGAGATACTTCGACTAGTCATGTATATAATCGTTTCACATTCCGTCTTTAAGTTTAAAGTCATCATCCATCTGAGTATACTCATTCTATAAACCCTAACTTAATTTTTTACTTCTCTTTTATGGCCAACATTCTATGTCATAAAGCATTACAGGTCTCAGAACCATCTTATGGAATGTCCCTTAAGTTTGAGGGTACTTCTCTATCACGCAACAAGCCTGATGCATTCCTTCACTTCGACCATCCAACTTGAGTTCTATTGATAATATTTAGACTCCAAAGTTGACCATAATTTAAGTTTTCTTTAAGCTCCTCTTATAGTCTTATCAATAAGGGGTATATCCTTAATGATATAAACTTGCCTTTCAAAATGTATCTTATCAACACTCCATCTTTCAACATGTACTATTCTTTCAACGCCCATCTCTCTCTCTTCTCCTCACTTTGCCATGCATCCGAATGGGGTGAAGATGGTGCTTGTGATTGTTACACATGCACCTTCCCCTTTCGTTGCTCATGTTATTCATAGTCCATTTCACTTCTTAGATGTTAGGTTTGAGTATTGAGGTTTCTATGTCACTACCTTACTGATGGCCATGCTGGATTGAGTGCTAACCCTGGAGGAACATTTCAACACATGTTATGGTTGAGTTCAGATAGGAAAGTAGAAGTGTTGTAACCCTGAAGGAGAGAACAGAGTTCATCTATTTCTATCAACGAAATTGTTGACTTCTTACATTCAATTGGTGATGGACCTGACGACAAAAATCTCGACGACTTACAAGCTCTTTGAATCATCATTATCAAGTGATTTTTTTAGTTAGAGCAAGTTCATTATGAGATACCTGGTTATGAGTTGGGCTCTTCATCAGCATTTTTTTATTAGATCTTTTCTTTAAAGTTTTTTTTGGGGGTGAGTGAGATAAACTTGCCTTTGTGTTAGGGCTGTCAAAATTGGGTCATGGGTTGGGTTTGGGTCCAACCCGAAATTGACCCGACACTGTTCAACTCGACCTGAACCCAACCCGTTTTTGCAAACGGGTCGGTTTCCTGAACCCGAACCCGACCCGCTTCGGGTCCGGGTCAACCCGAACCCGACCCGATTCAGTATATTTTATTAAATTTTTTATTTAATTCAATTTATTTAAATCAAAATCAAATTAAGGTAAGATTTACTTCAATTAATTTAAAATAAATCAAGATTAATTTAATTTGGGCAATAATGTTAATAATTTTTTGAAATATCATTTACTTATTTCAATAAAAATCATTAAAACCCTCCTAAATTAATTAAAAATGGTCAACCGGGTTGATTTCGGGTTTTCGGGTCAACCGCCAACCCGACCCGATTTTACAAACGGGTTGAAATCCCTAACCCGTAAACCCGACCCGGTTCGGTTCGGGTTAACCCGAACCCGAAATTTTCGGGTCGTGTTCGAGTCAGGTTTTCGGGTCGGGTCAAATATTGACAGGTCTATTTTGTGTATAGCCCTTTGTAAAACAATCAAAATTTGCTATTTGTTGTAAATTTATCGTTAATTTAACATGACAAGTTATCTATTTGTGTATGTGATTACTTTATTTTGTTTTTTTTTTGTTTGCTTGTCGAGTGTGAATTGAATTTTTTTGGTAATGATGAAGAAAAAGATATGTGAGATTCTAATCATTCATGACAAATGCGACACTTACCTCAAAAATTCAAGTTCTTTTTTTCTCAATATAAGTATAATATACCTCTAACCTTCTTTAAGGCTCTATTTTTATCATTCTTTTCTTTCTCATCTCTTTTCTCTCTCGCTCTGTTAACCTAGCTAGTTACGAATGTGATTAGGGTGTCAGCCATAGATAACTTTACAACCAACATACTTTTAGGTGAGACTGAAATTGACAAGGGTTGTAAAGCTACATTATAAGGTTTTAATTGAAGGGCGAAATCCTGCCAACAAATGATTATATATATATATATATATATATATATATATTGAAGTAAAAGCATGTAAATGAGGATTTTAAATGGAGCATAAGGTTTGTTTGATACGGTTTTCTTATTGCTTCTTAAACAATTTTTTAGTACATAAATTACAAATTATTTTTATTTTTAAAAAACTGTCCAAAAAAACCTAAACCAGAGTTAAAGTCCTAAGGAGTTGAATATTAAAAAATGAGAATTATTTAAAATGTTACCAAAAAAATAATAAAATTGGGGTGCAATATACTAAATCAAATAAAATAGAGTGGCATATATTTTTTGTGCATTTTGATCGCTGAACACACTGAAATTGGTTGCTAGTTGCATGTATACTGAAGTTGATGGACTAAGGATCTATTTGGTGATAGATTTTTCAATTTTTTTTTTTTACTTTTCTGATTGTTGCTGCATTGCCTTTGGCTATTAGTTTAAGATTTTTTTAATGATAAAAAATAAATTTTATAAATCAGATTTTTAAAATGTGAAAGCCAGAAAAAAAATAATATCATTATTTTTAAAATATTTTATTTAAAAATATGATTTTATTTTGTTTTTCATCTTTTTTTTCCTTTAAATCCTGGATTTAATTGAAATTAATAGTACGAGGATTTGACCAAAGAAGCGCGTGAAAGGGGTGAAAAATGCGTTATCGCAATGAGCTCTTTAACAGGAACAACATTGGTCGTCGAAGGGGGCGAAGAAGCTTCCTTCACACGAAAGAGATGAAGAAATATTTTCAACTTTGCATGAAGTGGGTGAAGGCGAAGTAGCTACGCATTTTCCTACCAAATGTAACATATTAATTAAAAGATATATCTTAAACTTGAGTGATCTTAATCAATCTAATTAGTATTAAAAAGTTTTTTTAGTTAAATTAATATTTCATTAGTTTAATAATGTTACTAATAGTAATTAATTAAAAATAATATATAATATATACAATAAGTATAATTTAGTTAATCTGATTAGTATTAATAAAAAATACTTTTAAATCAAATATATATTTCATTAATTTAATAATTTTTAATTATAATTAATTGAAATAATATATAATAAATATGATTCAAATATAATTTGATTTTTTTTCATTGTAATTATGTATTATTTATTAATTTAATCATTAATAATAATAATTATTAAAATTTTAGTTGAACTAACATACCTTAAAATCTGAAATAAATATTCAATTAATTTATCAAAATTTAATCATATATAATTCTCTATGTATTATATAAATATAAGTTTAATACTTAATTTTTTCAAAATTTAATATTCAATTAATCAGATTTATTAAATTCTACTTAAATTAAAGTTTTATTTAGAACATTTTAATAAGTTCCCAAATATTTTTTTAATAAAGTTTTTTAATTAAAAATTTATATGTAAAAAATAATTTAAAAATAATAAAAAAGATTATATATATATATATATATATATATATATATAAACTTAAATCAGGCATCCAAACAGCCCTTGAACTTTTATTAATAAGAAAAAGCTGCAGAATTACCTTATATCGTTAGTCAGCTGGTTTTACCGACCCTCATCGAATATCAAAATCCCGGAGGCAGGGCGGCTGATGCGGCGGGAAGAACAAAGTGAGCGACTGTGAGAAATCGTCATGGAAATAGGGGGTAAAATTCAGAGCTGGGCGCCAAATCTTCCAAAGGTTTGCCTAGCAACTGCTCTTCTACCCTTCCTAATTTCTCCCCTTCCACCCTCAAAATCTTTAATTTTCCAAATTACAATGATTGCAAGGCTTTGATTTTTTGAAAAATCTTTTCTGGAACAACATGCGATTTCTCTGTTAACTCTTCTGCTTTTCTGAGACCTAGATCTTTGGTAAAAATATATTCTTTTCTGCTTTTTTTTTTCGTCGTGTTCTCAATGTCTTTTTTCATGTATTCGATGAATTTCCTTATTGGCAACCATGGCATTCTTTGATTGATGTCTAAAAGTGGTGTTTCGAGACCTGCAGTTCATGGTCAACGTGCTATAATTGGCCAGAACAAGTTTGTCCGACTCTGAAATTTGTATCTTAGGGCTGATGGCACGATGAAAGACAGATTTTGGTCTTAAATTTAGTCGATCTAGTGGTCTACTGTGATAATTCCTTACTTCTATTCAGTGTATTGAGAAGTGCCATGAAAGTGTTGAACGAGATTCTCTGGTTCACGCTCCATTTTTTTTTTCTTGGTTCACGCTCCATGTTATGAAGCCATGCAAGCAGCTTACTGTACGAATTCTTAGCTTAGAGCTTTAAAACATGTGGGCAATGGTCGAGCCAGAAATTTTGTTCGCGGGGCCTAAATTAAAGTAGGTATGTTTGCCGTCTCATTTGGAAGGTTAGAATATATTAAAATAGCTCAATTTGCCGTCTCATGTAAGATCAAAATTAAGAATGCAAATAACATGACACTTAAAGCTTATAAGACATAAACATCTGCCACGGACAACCTTTGTTTGGGGGCGAGAGAGGAGATAAAGAGAAAACGAAAGTCATGTTTGAGATCGTGACTCACAAGTCACAAGAGAGGAGTAAATGGGAAAACGAAAGTCATGCTTGAGATCGTGACTCACAAGTCACTTTGAAATCATCTCGGCTAGATCTAAGATCAATAGTGCGAGATCTTAAATTTAGAACCATCTCAGCTGGACTTAAAGTCGATGGCGCGAGGTCTTGAATTTAGTCCTGACCAGTTTTAAGATCGACAGCACGAGGGCTTAAATTTTAAAAAAATTTACAATGAAACAATATGCTTGATTAAAACACTTATTCATGTATGCTTATAGTAATTGTATCTTTATATTTTCTCTAAGTTGAATTAATTCCAATGATAGAAATAAAATTTCTTTATTATAAATTGCTTATAAAAATGAATTATATTGCTCTACTTTCAATTCATTTTAATTAGAGAAAAAAATCTATTGTGTTATAAATGAAAGAAAGTGAAATAAATCGGACATATAACAATTATACATGTAATTTATTAAAGGTAATATTATTTGCCTTATATATTGATCAAGGGAAGAGAAAAAGTAATTATTTAATTACTCTTACGTGAACATGCTTCTTGTCTTCTATATTATAAGTGCAGCAATCAGAGAAGAAGAGTAATTACTCACCTGAATCAGTTCTCTTGCCTTATATAATATTAAAGCACTATTATATATGAACCAATCAGGGAAGGGAAGGAAAAAAGGGTAATTATTTAATTAATCTCACGTGAAGAGTTTATGTAAAATAGAGGCAGACAATTGGCGAAAAGTGAAAACCAGAGGACGTGGACGGGAGCCCACAGACGAGAGCAAAGGCTCCTAGTATACGTGGAGAATTTGATATAGCGGAGCCTTTATCTGTAGCTCCTAGTGCTGTAATTTTACTAAAAAATTTTGAGTGATCTACCTATCATTTGCTCATTCCCAACACTATCAGTCCTAGCAATAAAATTTCAAGCCTTGTTCTTATAAATATATAAGATTTCATAGTTACAAAGTACAAATTAGTTGGCCTGTGATTATTTGGTTTCCAATATTTGCAGATGGGAAGTGGAAGCAACACATTTACGGTCGATGACGCACTCATCTCACAAGGGTTTGGGTACTTCCAGGTCCTTGTGCTTGCTTATGCTGGCATGGGTTGGATTTCGGAGGCGACAGAAATGATGCTTCTTTCATTTGTAGGACCTTCTGTACAAGTTCAGTGGAATCTTTCTTCACATGAGGAGAGCTTGATTACTAGTGTTGTGTTTGTGGGCATGCTAATTGGAGCATACTCGTGGGGCGTAGTTTCTGATAACTATGGGCGGAGGCAGGTCCTTTTCTCTTTCTTCAAATACCTCAAACTTCGATATGCTGCTTCCCTATGCTAAATTCTGCTCTTCTTTTGTTTTGTCACTGGTTATCCCTTTGTCTGTTTCATCGTTACTTCAAAACATGTAAGTTAATATGGATAGTCTAAGGCTTCGTCGGTTTCTTATTGCTTCTAAAAGCAGCTTTCTAGTTCAAAATTTTTAATTTTTGAACTAAAAAGTTGCATTTAGAAGAAGTAAGAAAGCCGTTCCAAACGAAGCTTTAATTCTGTTGTTTGACTTTGGATTTATGAATTTCATATGTTCTTGTTAAGTGCTACTTAGGGGTGTCAATTTCGGGTCACGGGTCGGGTTCGGGTCGAACTCGGAACTAACCCAGTACTATTCGGGTCAACCCGAACCCGACCCGTTTTTGTATACGGGTCGGTTTTGCGGATCCGAACCCGACCCGCTTCAGGTTCGGGTCAACCCGACCCGACCCGCTTTGGATTCAACAGCGGCACGCCAGGTTACGCTTTGGCGTTCGGCAGCACATCAGACTCGACCGTGGGACCGTGGGACGCGCGGCGGACACCACCGCGAGACACGCGGCAGACTCGACCGGACTGGGCATTTCGCACTGGCGCTGCTGAACTGGGCAGCTGTATCACGGTGAACTTGACTAGACGCGTCACGTTCTGACGCGTGGCACTCGGCAGCGAGTCGATGCATGCGGGCAGACCGGGCAGCCGGGTCATTTCCGGGTTCCCGGGTCACAATCCGAACCCGACCTATTTTTTCAAATGGGTCGAAAATCTGAACCCGAATCCGACCCGCCAACCCGAACCCGAAATTTTCAGTCGGGTCTAATATTGACACCCCTAGTGCTATCGAAGACGTTAACTTTAAATGAACAACTGGTTGCATTATCTTTGGTAAATCTGTTTTTCTTCTTATTCTTTTCACACTAGCGCTATTCACTGGTTTTATTGGGGAATATTTTGCCCTCTACTTTGCGGACGTAATTCATCTAAATTTATGTTTTAAACCCTTATCTTTAATTTTGCTACCTTAACAATTTTTATATAACATAAAAATTTCTTGTTCTCTCTTTTTTAGTTCGACCATAAATCCATCTTAATGTTCTTTTTTCAATTTTTATAACATAATCATTTTCTCCTTTTTAGCACTCACATCCATCAGATTTTTTTTTTTTTCTGAAATCATTGCACCAGCCTTAAATTTTGTACAAGAAGAATAATAAGCTGCCATTTAAATGTTTATCTAAAATGATCATTCAATATCATCCACAGAGATTGAGTGTGAAAAATTGAATATGCTAGGTTGGTGCGATGATTTCAGAAAAAAAAAATTCTTCCTGTGCAGAATTTAAGGCTTTTTATTATTAACAAAGTCCTTGTTCTGCTTGATTTGCAGCTAATGGAGATCGAATTTTTTTTACGTACATACAACAGAATGGAACTTGAACATGTAATACGATGAACAACACATGATATTAACACATCACTGAACTGGTTCTTCTTTGGCTAGAAAGTAGGCCAGAGCATGCATCATGCACTGTACAAAGCGCAAAAAAATCACGCGCTTCTCCTCTTTGATTTTGTTTTACTGTGTGAACTCCATTTCTTTTGTGGAGCGATGGACAATCACACTTAAAGCATGTGCTTCTTTTTTATGCTTTTAACAATAATGGTATCACCCAAAGAAGACTTGTTCAGAAAATAGAGAGAACTCAGAGATTTCTTATTCTTCATTAGAAATTTAGGCCTCATCTATTCTTATGATTTTTTTTCACCGGAATTGATAATATTTATGGTAGAATTATTTAAATCATGACCAAGTTAACATTTTGGTGAAAACTGTATTAACATAGGGGGCATATGAGTCTACTCTATGAAGACTAGTTGTCCTCTGTATGACGACTATGCTTGAGATAGATTGCACGAAAACCTTTGACATTTGTGATATGTTGAATTCGTTAAGTGTAATTGGATTATCTATGATGCACAAATACGAACATAACACAACATGGACACAGGACACGTCAATTATTGAAAATATTTGACAAGAACACGGGCTGGACTCGATATTATAATTTTTATATTTTCAGAGTAATGTATAGAAATTGAATAAGTAGAATATCAATAATAATTTAGAAATAGTAAGTCATTTAATTAAAATATGTGCTTAAAATGATTAATATTATGATGTTGAGAGTCGGGTGTCGATATTGTGTCATGCATCGGGAGGGGAGCCAATAATGTTATCAAAAGGCAGGCATTTATGTTGTGAAGTGAGCTTCGGGCATCGGTGTTGAGACATCGTCGGCCCTTAATGTCGAGTCGATGTCAGTCGTTGATGTTGAGATGACATTAGAAAAAGTTGATATGTCAAGAGAACGTGTGGGTGTGATTATTGGTGAAGAAATTGCTGGTGTCTAGCGTCAATATCAAGACAACATTAGACTTTAATGTTGAGATGATTTTAAAATATTAATATTGTGACTACATTGAGAGATGGCATTAAGTTAAATGAAAATAGAACTGTTCGGGGAATGGGATATTGAGTATGAGCAATTGATTTGGAGTTATGGAGAGTAAATAAGAAATTTAATTTTTATTTTTTAATTAATAAAAATTTAAAGTACAAAAAATTTCATAAAATATTTAAGACATGTATGTCCAATTTATTTTTAATATATTTTTTAATAAGACACGTTTTCATCACATCCGACATGTGTCAGAGAAGTGTCAAATGGTTGTCGTGTTCAATACGTATCGGACACTATACCTTTTTGAGGAGAAGTATCGGTGCATCATAGAGAATTATAGATTCAGAGCAGATGGAGCATTTTGGGGAGCTGAGGAAGGTGAGTGAATAAGAGGAGGAGAGGGTGGATTTTAACTCCACCTGAATTATTTGCTTTTCTTAGAGGGGAAATTACATCACTGAAAAGGAGGTGAATTTGTATTATGTGAGGGAGACTTCTGGAGATAGAATGAGTTATTTAGTTAAAAAAATTGATGATTAAGTTTTATGGGGACTTAGTTGACTTGTTTTGCCGCAAGAGCATAAGATAAAAAAACCTTGAAAGGGACATTCTTTTTTAAAAAATTGATGTCAAGTTTCTTGCTCTTTTGCTTCAGGATTGGGGAGGTGGGCAGTCGCAGGGTGGAAGGAGTTAGATTGATTGTATGCTTTTTATTAAACAATAAATGTAAGCTATAATTTTTTATTTCTAGTGCAATAGAATTTGTCATAATAATTGTTTTTCGAGCAATGACTTGTACAAAGTTTCTCATAAAGGTTTCTTAGTTTCTCCTTACCTCTGTCACATGATGTGGGTATTTTGCTGGTTAACATTAATGAGGTAAATGGAGGGAAAACATTCTTCTATGATCCAATGCCAACAAATGCAGCTGGAAGATGGTTAATTCTATTTGATTACAGACTTATATCTTCTGTATTTTCTTTAATCACTGATTTTGGCATCAACCGACTTATCAGCTTACATGGAGTTTATTTTATATTTTTTTCTTTTTGTTTTTTAGTGGTGTATGTTATAATGTGTAATTATACTGTGTTTAGTGATGTTGAGATTGTGGGCTCCGAAAATTCAAGCCCCAGTCTCTCCGCACCTTTTTCTATTGACGATGAGAATTTTAACAAATTATGTATAGTGGAGGAAGAGCCCTTTCCACTCTCGCTCCCGAAGTAAGCATCATGTTCGACCCTTTCTTCAAATTGCTCCTATTGTAAATGTTTGGCCGTGGTACTCTTTTTCATATAAGCATTAATTTCCTCCTTCACCTTATCCGGAACATTCGTACAAGGTGCTACATTCTTATGTGAGCCAGATAAGTGTTCCTTCATGCGAGTTACTCCTCCACCACCTTATCACAAAAATTATATTTTAAATACACATATGTCTTCTCGCCTCCTCCTACATCAACTTGCACACTGTATTTCCAAGAAGGGTCATACTGCAATGACATATTTGTTTTTTCCTTACCCCTAACCATGTTTCCTAAAGCACAAATGCAAAATAAAACATAAAAACATAAAATAATAAGCATGAATATGAAATAATATTGTTCAAGAGACAATAATTCACATTTAAAGTCCTCACCCCTTTCTACTCTCCTATAGAATCCAATGTCTCCCAATCAAAGCATGCATTCATGAAGAAGCAGACTAATACTAACAACTATTACTAAAGATGATGAATACAACAATATGCCGGGTTGCCGGGGGTCCAAGGGGTGTTTCCCCTGGCAGGGTTCGACCTAGTGGTACTGAGCATGTACTAGTGGTATTGAGCATGTACTTAGCAGTACCGAGCATGTACCTAGCGGTACCGAGCATGTATATAGTGGTACCGAGCATGTACCTAGCGGTACCGAGCATGTACCTAGCGGTATTGAGCATTTACCTAGCGGTACCGAGCATGTATCTAGCGGTACCGAGCATGTACATAGCGGTACCGAGAACTATGACCCTAACTTTCCTATAAGTTGAAAAATCAAACCCTAAACTTAAAAAAAAAATCCTAAGAACACTTGAAGAAATGATGTAGAGGGGTGGCCAGAAACAAAGAACTCACCGGCAAGAGGCGGCGCAGGTGGGAGAGGCAGCGCCGACTGGAGAGGCGGCGGAAACGTGCGGAAGAGCTGGATCGGGCGTCTGCGTGCTTTCTGGCGGCTTCGATTGACATCTTTGGTTGTTTAAGTGGGTCTTCGGTCGGGTAAGTGGGTATAATGAAGAATTTAAGAGGTTTTTTAAGTAAGTGGGCCCCCATATTAGAGGCGTACGCCTCAAAGAAAATTGCGCAATAATGCTAGTGAGGCGCGCCTCACTCCACCTGAGGCGTACGCCTCATGATGTCTGAGAATTGCCTAGGTTTTGAGGCTATTTTGGAGCAAATTGCGCAAAGGCGCGCCTTGGATTGCACAATTTTAAACTATGATAGTAGTAGCAATTTTAGGGCTTGGAAGTGGGATTTTTAGGGTTTTCATGATTTGAAATTTATCACTGTGTATTTAAAGCTGGTGATGGGGGGGAATGATGACGAGCCCAATTAAGATCCCATAGTTTCGTCATCTTGGATTGTCATGGTCCGTACTCCACTTAGTTAGAGGAGGCAGTCGACCCAATTTGACCAAAGTATTTTTATCGGCAGTCATGGGTTGCGTCGTTCGATTGTACCTTATAGACTTGGGGTAAATGTTTGCCTAAGTGGGTAGATTTGAGTCGACCTTATTGAACAAAAAGCTTTGTGCCTATCAAATATACCTTATGATTCATGAATCAAGAGTTTAGAGTTATTGGTAACATATGAGCTCTAGTCATGACCGTAATTTAATAGTACCATTTGATGATAAAATCACTCGATCAGAGGGCCCCGGTCATAATCGTTTATCTATGGTGTTATTTGGCGGCAAAACAATTAATTAGAGGACACATGTCACGTTTTAACTGGCGAAAGATGGTTTAAGAATGAATTTTAGTGATACATTTGACATGACATTCTTTCTGAATTGAAGTTATACTTAAATTCATCCTCCTCGACAAACGATTGCGGAAAGGTTGATGAATTTATGCTTTAAGTTTTTTTTAGGTGTTTAATTTCATTTCAAAATTTAGATTTTGGTAAATATTAAATTTTGAGTTTTTTTGGAATTTTAGCCCTATAATTATAAATTTTGGCATGTAGGAGCGGCATTTCTTTGAAATTTACGGGGACCCCTCCAGTTGAGATTTATATTCAACGCGACCATCATCTAGGTTTTAGATTATTCAAATTTTATTATCTGAACCTTGTCAACTTTGCCTATTTATTGGTAAAGGATCAGGTTCGATCAGGATTTTTAAGCATTTTGATCATAAGTTCCCATTCAGTTGATATGTACTTTAAACATGACCATCATCAGAGTGATGTTAGAGTTACTTTTAAAAAATATTTGTAGTTTTGCAGGCATTTGGGAAATATTTGGAAATATGGAATCCCCTCCAGTTGAGATTCACTTCCAACACGGTCGTTATTAGGTTGATTTTGAAATCACTTTAAATATTTTTATTTTTGCATTACAATTTGGGGTGGTATAAGGTCTTTCTCCATCTCTCTCTCTCTATTATCTCTCTCTTGTATTCTCTCCCCGCCATCTCTCTAATGAATTGAATGTTTCAAGCGATTTGACGCTTTCAAAACTCACCAAATCGTTTGGTTCATTCAGCACTATGCCAAACTTTTGGCGAATTCGCTCCGCGAGAGAGAGAGAGAGAGAGAGAGAGAGAGAGAGAGAGAGAGAGAGAGATGAAGTCAGTGAAAAAGAAATATCAAGAGGAACAAATAGAGAGAAATGAGAGAGGAAGAGAGTTAAGAGAGATGTCCATATTGGGTGGTCGACAGAGGCTGAGTCGGATGGAGAAGGATGTTGGCTAATGGAGGAGCTTGGACGGTGGTAGGTGATCGACCTTGCTTGAGTGAGGAAGAGGTGAGGGTCGGCTCGTGCGAGAGAGGAGAGAACAAGAGGTCTGTTTAGTGCTAGACTTGGCGTGAGGAGCGTGAGATCGAGAGGTCTAGGCATCTGATTAAGTGAGCAATATAGAAATTGAGTGAAATGAGTGTTCTTTTTGTGTATTAAGGTTTAGCTTTAGGTTATTTACTTATTTACCCTTTTATTTTTGTTTCTATAAATGAAAGGGCAAAATTGTCCTCCTATCTATAGTTGAAAGGATAGATCAAGATTCTAGATATTCAGAATTTTTTTTTTGTATATATATTTAATTATTTTAATTAGATGTGTATGCATATATCTAATTAATTTAAATATAGAGATATTAAACTATTATTTATAAAAATTAATCTAATAATATAAATAAATAAATAAAAATTTATTTTGAATGCATGTGAATTCGTTCGTTGAGATTTTGTAGATTGTGCATGTCAAATTTCATCTCGATTTGTGTGCGCATGTGGACTTTTTACCAATTTTTCTCGTGCTCGTACTCGGAAAATCTGGGTGTCTTTTCCTATATTTTGGGACGTTCCAGATGCACTCGCTCAGTCCATTTCACTAATAGAGGACATTTTGAGTGGTTTCGAGTATCATCGGTGTAGTTCATATCAGCTTAGCAGTGCCTTGTCGATCAATCGTTGACCTCGTCGGATGTGGTCGTATTGATCTTTGACAAAACTTAGAGGTCAACAGAGATGTATTTGTTGAACGTTTATATTGTCAATCAATTGAATTTCACATTTCACTGTGGAGGTCTAGTAATGATGTGAAAACATCCGCTTGACCATCACTGTTGGCTCTTACATTTACCTAGAGCTCATAAAGTTTGATTTTTTTTTGTTTTGATGACATTTTATCCAACTTGCACTTAATTTACACCTTTTTTCTCTGATCGAGAAATTTATGCATTTGTGTACATAACCATGACAATTAAAATCATTTCTTTTCTCTACTACTATTATTTTACGAATCTTATGATACCTTTTCATTTTTCAATCTTAACAATACATTTTACTGTTTGTCCAAGATGAATCTGTCCAAGCCCAACTTGATAGCATTAGTTATTGTTAATTAGAAGAAACGATCAAAATGTTTTGCTTCAACTATTTGATTTTTAAATTTCTGTCAATTCTAGGGTTGGGTTTCTATTTACAGCCATAGTTACTAGTGGAGCAGGTCTTCTTAGTGCTTTTGCTCCAAATTATATTTCCTTGCTTCTCCTTCGATTTGTGGTTGGCATCGGTTTGGGAGGTGGACCCGTCCTTGCTTCGTGGTTTTTAGAGTTTGTTCCAGCTCCAAATAGAGGTACGTGGATGGTGATTTTCCAAGGCTTCTGGACTATTGGTACCATCTTGGAGGCTTCTCTTGCTTGGGTACTCCTCGCATCCTCTCTTATCTACTTGCCCATGCTTTTTAAGTTCTTTCCTTCAAAATTCATCAGTTATAAATGCTGATGATATCATGGACTTATATGGAGATATTAATGTCACTTTGAAAATCACAAAGTAACTTTATGGGACTGTGTAGGAGTAATTGCATTATACAGATGCCTTTTAATATTCCAAGTTTTGTGTAGATTTCAATGGCATCTTCTATTGAAGCATTATTTTCTTATTTTCAAGCAATGCTGTATCTTTTTTCCTTTTGCCACTTACTATTATAATATAATCAAGAAAGAAGAATTCATAAGTGCAGGTGTTGCTCCAGTAGGTTTAGGGTTTAGGGTACAATTATCCTATTTGCTGCCATTGACGTTAACCTTCTACAAGATTATAGGTAGCTTCTAGGTAGAGTATGATTAGATAAAGAACTGTTATTGCCTTCTCTGTTAATTTTTTATTTCATTTCAGTATACGGGTTCGTTTGTGTGAAAGAAGTGGTATTGAGGTTATATTTTTTTGTGGTCGATCAGAAGAATCTAATGTAACTACAATCTGTTGGAGCAAAACACAAAAAAAAGGGCGGAGAAAGCATGAAAGAAAGGACGAGATGTGAGCAACTCCATCAAGGAAGCTCACTAGAATTCAATAAAAATGGATTGAATGTAAAAAAAAATACTGTTTGAATCCAAAAAGTGAATCTTTATCAAACTATCACTTCAAGTCACGTGGGAAGGATCAAGCAAAGCAGTAGATGTTAGACAAGTCACGGAAATGAGGGGTTTTATGAAAAAGATTAATGGAGAGAGAAATGATTTAAAGAGAAAAAGCACGGTCTTGTGTAGGGAGGGATAAGGGTTCAGGTAGTAAAGGGAGAGAGTAGGTGGGGTGAGAATTTTTAGAATTATAGGGAGTTTGATAGTGAGAGATAGATGATGTTTAGCAGAAAGAGACAGGGAGAGAGAGTGAGAAACAATATTCTAATAGAAAAAGAAATTTGTGGGTAGATGAAAGAGAGAAAGGATCAAGCGAGAGAGTGAAGGTTGTGTGAAAAGAGGGAGAGGAGAAGAAACTTTTTTGTGGGAAATAATATATGCTAAACTTTTTAGTTTAAGTTATAAATTATAAGCATTTAATTAGCAATAATAATCATTTAATTAATAAATTGATAAAGATGAAGAACTTTACTTCCAATGGTTTTATTTATTTTTTTAATACTTTTGTCATTGTTGATTGACTATTTTATTTTTAGACATTTGAATATTTGGGAATTTACATACTTACCTCAAAATTCTTATGTAGTTATATATCTATCTCTAAAATATTTATATTTCTTTAATATCCTAGCATCTAAATCACGTTAAAACATATTTTTATTTTAGATAAGTTAATTTAAGTGATATTTTTTTATGTAATTTAAAGATTAGAGTGTTGTATAAATAAATATAAAGATTTAGTTGTTAAATATGTATGTATATATATAAGAATTTTGTGGTACATATGTAAACTCCCCCTTGAGTATTAGTATTTTTACATTTCTAAATAAGTGTAAAAAAATTAAAGTAGTTACTAATTTCTATTTTTTATATTATTTATAAATAAATTCGATATATGCATATACTATTTTTTTTTTTAATTCTTTACTATAAGAATGTTATTTAAAATTTTCTTAATTTTATTAATAAATTATGAAGATAAAATACTTTAAACTATTGGTTTTTTTATTTTTTTATTTTAACGTTATTCATTTCATGAACGATTATATTATCTATATATTTAAAAGATTTTGCTAAAAAATTTTAAACAGAACTATACTAATGCTAATTCTTAAAAATACATACTTAATTGTACTATGCAAAGGACAACATCCATTGTACTAATGCTAATTAGGCTATCATTAGTTGACTATCAAATCTATACTTGTATTAAAATGACTCTTAGCACTTCAAAATATTAATATATATTTTTTTTGAAATAATCACATTGCATTCAAATTAAGAAGTAGAATTCACTAAATTTTTGAAAGAAAATATTGCAACGTGCACTTGCATTTTTATTAGTATATATAAAGGGAATCTCATTTTTATGGTGCTCTTACTAATGCAGGATCTTAGGAGAGCTTGCTGTACGTAGTCTTGTCATTATATTTGCAGAGAAGTTATTTTCGTGGCTCGAGCTTGTGATCTCCAAATTACAATAGGGGTCATTTAATTATTGTTTTAGGCTTTTATGTATGCATTTTCATTCTAGTCCTACGAGAAAATGACTTTTCTCCTAATTTTATATTTCTTCCAACATCTCATGCGGTTTTCTTAGATCGAGTTCCCATATTTTTTATAGTTATTTCTCAACCATATCTAATATATATGACAGTTCAGATTTGAAGTTTGCTTTAAAATTCTAGTAAATTTAGTTCTACCCATGTATTTAACCAATCAAATCCATTAGAAGCACATTAACTTTCATCAACCTCGTGTTAAATTCTGGGCCATTTGAAATACTCAACAAAGAAAATATGTTAGTTTTCTTCTCATAGTCAAAGCCATCCATCAAAAAAGTTTTTACACGTCCTGAAACATTAGTTCATGAGGTGTCTATCACGCTTTAAAAATCTGTCAAACTTCTTTATATCTAAAATATAGGCTTTATAGATTACCACAGATTATGTTTGTTTTATTTTTGTGTTAAAAATTGAGCCATGTGTTTGCTATACTCCCATCTGGTACCCATCCTTAACAGTGAGAAAAATAACTTGTGCTGCACTTATGTGAAAGGCTTACAGCAATACTAGTCATATAAGTTTTCCTTAATACAGAAAATTCCATCCAAAGAAGCAAAACTTCTAACTACTTGATATTAATTTGCTATTTTATTTGCAGGCTGTTATGCCAAAATTGGGTTGGAGGTGGCTGTTAGTATTTTCTTCAATACCATCTTTTCTTCTGCTATTATTCTACCGCATCGTCCCCGAGTCTCCAAGGTATCTTTGCATGAAAGGTCGAACATCTGAAGCAATGCATATTTTGGAGAAGATGGCAAGAACAAATCGAGCGACACTTCCGCCTGGTGTTCTTGTTTCTGATATAAGGACTGAGCTTGATGAAAATCCCCATCCTTCTGAATCCACAAATTTGATAAATGTTCAGGATAAAAAAACTAAAGTTGTTGATGAAGTAGAACCTAAAACAGGTGGCATCTCCGCCTTCTCCAAACTTCTATCACCAGAATTGATCAGATCTACACTTCTGCTTTGGATCACTTTCTTTGGCAATGCATTTTCATATTATGGAATTGTCTTGCTAACCTCTGAGTTGAGCGGTGGAAGTAGTAATTGTGCGTCAGAATCTATAATAAGCCATTCAGTTGGGAGCAGCCTCTACAAAAATGTCTTCATCAGTAGTTTTGCCGGTAGAATCATTAATTCCTTTTACGTTTTCCAAACATAATAAAGCACTTTTTTTTAAAGAGAACTCGTACTAGAAGATGACTATTTTGCAGAGGTTCCTGGACTTCTTTTGTCAGCTACTATTGTGGATAGGCTCGGTCGCAAACTTTCAATGTCAGCTATGCTTTTTATAAGTTGTGCTTTCTTGTTGCCTCTTGTAGTTGAACAGAATGAAGCAATCACTACAATACTTTTATTTGGTGCTCGGGTCTGTATTTCTGGAAGCTTCAACATTGTCTATGTATATGCACCAGAGGTCAGCAAGAGATTTCCATATGAATTTAAGATATTTACTCCATCGAATATCTCTTAGAGCCCTACTAGTAGCAGTATGATATATAAAGTTGCCCTCAAATTTTACATAAAGATCAGATCAACAATCTGTTGGAGAATTTTTGTATCCTCAAACGGATTGCATACTTTATCATCGAGTACGACATAAGAATATGATATATCACCCCGAAGGGTAAAAATATCATTTCCTTATAGACTTAATCATAAAATTTACAATTTTAACAGAGATTCCCCCACTCAATGTTTGGTCGAATGGGGTTTATTTATTTCTGGGGTACAGACATCCCATAGGGGCTTGCCCCTATGGTTAATTATATCCCAAGTTTTAGTGCTTGAGAAAATTTTTGATTAAACTAGTGGTTTTGCTTTTCTTGGAAGTCATTTTAGACATTGGCTAAAGTTTGCTTTTTGTTTTAAAATCCATGAAAGTCTTGCTTAAAGGTTTTGGCCCTTTAGAATTTCAAGGAAGAGGTTGATCAACTTAGAATCAGATTTTTGAAGTGAAGTCCAAGGGAAGGTGAGGTAGGAGCACTTGATTCTGAGGGACACTCAGAGGTGCTCAAACTATCATATATTGAGCTTTACATTTTAGCAATCTAATTTTGGTTTAAGTTGATGTTTTAATTAGAAAGTTGGGGCTTACATCCCAACAACACTTGTTGGAGGAATTGCCCGAAAGATAAGGGCTTATATGGTGATTTGGAATCAACACATGCCTCAGACCCTAAGACTAAGGTGAGGACTACCGATAGGTAGTGCCTCGAACCTAAATCTAACGAATGCACAAGAGGCTTACAAACTAAACCTCACAAGAGGCATAGCCTGCCCGACCTCTGGATTTATTGTCCCGCCACGAAGGGACTACCAGCTAACCCTCCTAATCGCTTTTAAAACCATGTCATCTGGTCTCAATGCAAATGTAGAGTGAGGAGGTTGTTTTTATTTAGAATGTAGGGCTTACAACTTGGCTTTGAGGCCAAGATGCCTAATTATGTGGATATGCATATGCTGACTTATAAAGAAAAAGATTTTTGTTATCTAATCCTTAAGTTAGGGCTTTCTATATGCAACACACTTTTGGCCATGCATGATTATTTTAAGCTTTTGGAAAACTTGGCCCTTTGAAAGAGAGCCATGCAAATTTTCTTTTATTAAAAAACCATGAAGCCTAATTTCATTTTAGGTTGCTTTCATTTTAAGGGGTAGAAAACTTAGTTTTTATCCTAAGAGTCTAACGTAGTAGAGTCCAGGCCACGCCCACAGAAACAAAAGAAGAAACCTAGAAAAGACATACTGTTCTATTGCACAACCAGTAAACAGATAACACATGCTTTTGTATATAAATGAAGATAGAAATGTAAATAATGTCCCAGTTATTACAAACATGTTTGGCAGCTGAGTTGCCTGCCATTATACAACCCAGTCAAATTAATTACAGACTCTACTTGTGGGGTCTTCAAGCTTTACAAAAGTTCGTTGGGCTTCATCTCCCAAAATGTACATCTTTTCCATTTTGCTCCCTTCTTTTGCTCCAAACCCCTACAAGTTCACATCCTACTTCTAATCAAATACATGATATAAAAATAGAAAAGACTCAAACCTGCAAGACAGAGTTAAGCAGCAATTTATATGATAATCATATTATATTCCCAAAATTGGCCTAGCACTTAGAGTGCTAAGTGCTAGGCCCCCTGCTTCTACCCTATTGGCCATGCCTCTTGGGGGGTTTTAAGCAGCACCTGCAAGCAAACAACATTATGATAATCATGATTTAATTTACCCCCTCTTGGACATGGCCACCTGCACAGAAAAGCATGTATTTTTCTATACTAACCACTTAAGGGCAAGTGCCCACACGCAGACAATCCAAGGGCAATCACTCCACAACATCAATCACATGCGCACACAAAGAAAAATCCTAATCCTAGCATGCCTAAGGGATTGTGCACCTAAGTGTGTGTGGCTTGTGTGGTATGTCACACTAAGGGTCCTCCTAGAGTTTGGGTCTAAGGAAGAAGTGCCCAACATGCGACTTTTGAGCTACATGTTGAGGGAAATTCTCCTTAGTTTTTGGAGCTAAGAAGAAAAGTAGTAATCCGACATCTAGCTTTTGAGCTAAAGAGAAAGGAAATCTTCTACAACTTTTGGGGTTGGAGAAGGATTGAGAGAATATGCAACTTATGGGTTGCAAATTTATAAAGGTCTTTGGACATTTTGATGTCGAAAAGAAGGTTGCACCCTTCCAACTTGAGTTTGGAAGGGTGAAGGGAAATAGGACTCGAATCCTATGCTTGGGGTGAAATTACTTGTTGTTTTTGGCTGAACAAGTAAGATAAATAGAATGAGATTAAACAACCCAACATGGATTGAATACAAGAAAGTTCCATACAACTTTTGAGTTGTAGGAAGATTGAATTTCTCTACAATTTTAAGTTTGAAGAGAGGAGAGGGTGCCTCCTTGAATTTTTTATTTCCAAGGAGGTAGAGTTTCATTTTCTTAATTTGGGTTAAGAGAAATGAAGATAATTTTGGGGGTTTCCTACAATCTAGGTTTGTAGGAAAAGAAGTAGTCCAATGTGCAATTTACGGATTGCAAATTGAGGAATTCCTTTGGACATGTGGTGTCCAAAGAAAAGAAAGGTTTCATCCCTCCAATTTTGGGTTGGAGGAGAAAAGGAGAGGGGATGTGACTTGGAAGTTACAACCCCAAGAGGATTCTTTGAACATTTGGTATCCACAGAAGAAGGATTCATCCCTCCAATTTAGGTTGGAGGGATAGAGAAGAATGAGATGCAAATTGGAAATTGCAAACTCTTGAAAGTCCTTTGAACATTTAGTTATTCAAAGAAGGGAATACACTCTTCTAATTTGAGTTAGAAGAATAAGGGTAAGAAGATGAAATTGGATGCTTTCCTACAATCTTTGACTTGTAGGAAAGATGAAAGGAAATACAACTTGAAGGTTGCAAAGTGGAAGACTTTCCTTGAACATTTGGCATTCAAAGAATGGGTCATCCACTCACCCAATTTGAGTCAATGGAATAAGAAGAATTCCTACAACTTTTGAATTGTAGAAATAAGAGAAGGAACACGCAACTTGTGGGTTGCAAATCCATAAATGTTCCTTAAACTTTTGATGTTTAAATGAACAAATTCATTTGTCTAATTTGAGGCTAGGCAAATGAAGGGGAATTGGGAGATTTTCTACAATTTAGAATTGTAGGAAAAGAAGTAGCCCAAAGTGCAACTTAGAAGTTGCAAATTGGAGTAGTTTCTTTGAACGCTTGGTGTCTAAAGAGGAGATTCATCCTCCCAATTTGGGTTTGGGAGCATGAATATGGATTTAAATACTCTCCTACAATCATGACTTATAGGAAAGAGGAAAGGAAATGCAACTTACGGGTTGCAAGTTCAAGAACATTCTTTGAACATTTGGTGTTCAAAGAAGATGACACACATTCACTTGATTTAGGCTAAATGAATGGAGAGGTCTTCTACACTTTTTGTTTGGTAGAAGGAGGAAATAAAGTGTAACTTGGAGGTTCCACATTCATGAGAATTCATTAGGCTTTTAGATGCCCGAAGAAAAGGATTCACTCACCTAATCATGGGTTAGGAGAATGAGGATTAGATATTTTTCTACAATTTTGAGTCGTAGGAGAAAGGGGATTAGGAATTGAATCCTAAGGCCGAGAAATCATTCATTGGTTTGGTGTTCCAATGAATAAATGGTTTGGTAGATTTCCTACAACTTAGGGGTTGAAGGAAGAAAATGTAAGTTGGAGAGCTACAAAAATTCATAGAAGATCTTTGAATATTTGTTATTCAAAGAGGGGTGATCATTCACTTAACTTTGGGTTAAGTGAATGGAGAAGAAAGACTCGGATTTAGGTCCTAAGCCTAAGCGGGATGTTCAATTGTTAAACTTAGGTTCAAACAATTGAGAGAAATAACTTAGAGTTTGGTTCTAAGTTCAACAACCCCATGTGATAGTAAGTAGAAGTTCAGGAAAAGCTTCAAACTATTATACATGGGGGGAGAGTGGCATTTGTTTGTTGATTTTGCATTTCAACAAACAAAAAAGAGGAAATAACCCAGAATTGATCCTAGAGTTAAAGGATTTATGCAATGATATGTTTAAAGGCTTGAGGAGCCTTAAAATATCTTGCATGAGAAAAGATATGTTGGTTTCTTGTGTTCCAACAAATGGGAAAAACTTAGAGTTTGCTTCTAAGTTCAAGAGTTTAAAGCATGATGTATTTTAGGATCTAGAGAAATCCATAACACAACACATGATGAAAGTGGGTGATAGCTCCTAAGATAGACTAGGATACATGCAATGAGGTATTTGAAGCTTGGGGTGCTGCAAATAACATCGCATAAGAGATATAATTTGTAGTTTTTGGACTACAAATTAAGGGGGTCATCTACCTATATAGGTTAGGCAAATGAAATAGGCTAGATTTAGAATCCTAAGCCTAAAAAGGAATTCTTTCATTGATCTTAGTCTCAAAATGAAAGAAAGGGAGAACTTAGATTTTTGGCTCTAAGCTACAAAATTTTCATATAATGATAGGTTGGAATTTTAGAGAATTCCAAATCATCATTTATGAAGGGAGAAACGTTTATTTGCTAACTTTGTGTTGTTAGCAAATAGAAATGGGGGGCTTAGGATTTGTTTTCCTAAAAGCTTGATTCATGCACTATAATAATTGGGACTTAGAGAACGTCCGAATTATTAAGTGTGAGGGACATGTGCATAAGGAAGAGGACTTCCCACTCTCCTACAAATGTTTTGGATTTGCTTGAAAGAGGGAAGGCAAACTTCCTAACGCATTGGAAGATTTTCCCAAATCAAATTTGACATGATTTTGGGGATTTGAAAGTTTTTTCTCTTTTAGGAGAAACCTAAAGATCCATTTTGGCAAGATCTAAGAGAGACCTAAGAGTAGACATGTGATGGTTTATAGCTCCTATGTTAGAGCTAGGATTCACACAATCTAACATTTGGAGTCTTGAGGATGCTCCAAATATCATGTATGAAGGGGAAAAAAACGTAGGGGAGAGAGTTCCCCAAAGTTTTGAATAAACATTTTGGATTCATTTGGAGAGGAGAGAATTGATCTCCTACGATTTCTAAGAAGTCTTACAATTGGATTTGACATCATCCAAGAAACTTAGAAACGTGAATGTAGTTTGTATGTTTAAGGGGATGAATATATGCTAAGTTCAACTATCATTGCACTTGAGTCCCTTAATTTACAAATTTGATTAATCATGCTTAGGTAATTTCAATGAATGGTGAGTATGATCCATAGCCCTTGCGATGTCCATGGAATATACCTCTTGCTTCGAAGAAGCATTTGGAAATTATTGAGCATGCTTATAATTTTTGTAATTTTGGATATAAAAGAAAGCAGAACAACCCTTAGCATATAATGCATTACAATTATTTCGTCATAAACCTTCAATTTTGAATTTAAAATGAGATTAGGTAATTCTAGGCATGGGCACTCATGGGCTTGTGAGGCCCATGTGACCTCCAAATCGTTTAGATTAATGAACCCATTTACCCTCTTCCAAACCTCTAGGGGTTAGGGTTGTTCTAAACAAGTGGCAATCATCATTCTAGAGCAAATTAACTTTGATGAAATGAACTTGTCATGGATTGGTTGGTTATAATGTCGTGAGGTTTACAACATAAGTCTTTGGGATCTTTAAAATCCACAACGATATGTGATAAGAACTTCCACTACAAGTTTCCACCAAATTTACTTAAACATTGAACTTTAGCAAAACATAACATACCCTAGAACATATGTGTCAATGTTTTTGTGTAGCGCTGTCGACCTAAGGATACTAGCATGCAACAGCTATAAAGAAAGAGTTTAACCCTAACATTTGATTTCTAGGTCAAAAAGAATGGCTAACCTTATGGTTTCAAACAGTATGTATTGGGGGGAGATGCAGAAAATGCAAAACATACATTTTAAAAGGTGTTGGGAACTAATTCCAGCTCTCATACGCATCAATATCCTCTTCGACCCTCAACATAAGATTCGACTAACGGCAAATACCCGAATTTCCTAGCCTTTGGAAGCGGACAGCCAACATAAAAAGTTTAGGGACAAAAAGAAATAAAGTTTCTAAGGATTAAAGCTTTGGGATCGTCAACCACATACCATTGGCTAGGGAGCCTTAAGGTTTCGCCTAAGTTTCAAAGGTATACCTCTCCCGGTTTGTCCTAGCGCTCCAAATTTTTGTCCAAGCTGCTGTCCAAGGTCCGCTCCAAGCTCCAAAGTCGCTCCAAGCTCCAATTAAAGCTTCAAAGTCGCTGTCCAAGCCGTTCCGGAACTCGCCGCTGCTGTCCAAGGCACTTTGAAGGCCCCAAATCGCTGTTTGGGAGGTTTAGGAACCTTCTTTTGCTGTTTGGGAGTCTCCAACAGCCTTCAAATCGCTACGAATTTGCCGGAGTTGGAAGAGGAAGGAGGAGAAGCCACTAACTTTGAGAAATAAAGCAAATGGAGGGCTTAACTTTGATTTTCTTCCTTGGAATGAGAAGAAGATCTCAAGCCCTAAAACTCCCTTCTCCCTTTCACCTAGAAAAGCCGCACACTTGCGGCTTTGGCTCGCTGGAAGGAGGGCGACGGGCAGCAAGGAAGAAACCGAAGCCTTCAGGAGGTTCGACCGACGGTTTTGCACGCAAGAGGAAGGGCGAACGGAAGCCTGGGCGTGGAAATCGCCCTCTCTCGCTCTCTCTCGTTTTCTCTGGGTCGGGACGGAAATGAAAAGAGGAGCCGAATGAGCTCTCCACTGCTTCTCCCGCTCCCTTAGAGTCGCACGCAAGCAGAGAAGCCGCTCGATCCGTCCCGTTTGCCTGCTTCGATTCGTGAAACGAGGAGAAAAATCTACTCGAGTAGATTTCTGCTCAATTGATTTGAAATTGGGTGGGATTTGGAGCTCAATCTCAGCCCTAGATCTCAAAGAGATGTTTTGAAAGTCAAATTCAGCTTAAATTAACAAATTAAGGCTGAAATTGAGTCCGGATCGAACCCGATTTGGATCGATTTGGGTCCGATCGAGTTAATTCGATGAAATTGAACTCGATTCGGCGCCGAAATGTGTCGAATTACGTCAAATTGGGCTCGACGACGCTCGACGATGTTCGTTGGTGTTCGATTTAGTTTGATTTGATTTTAATTGAATTAAATTTTATTTAATTTGACTAAAACAAATTTAATTTAATCAAATCGGGGTCCAATTTGAGTCGATTTTACCTCGGCGACGGTCAATTGGGTCGATCGAGCCTAATCGGGCTCGATCGAGGCCGGGTCGACACAAAAATAAGCGTCAACAAACGTCTAATGAGAACTCAACATCAATAATACGTTGGCTTTGATGCACTGCAAACTGTTTTTACCCCTATATGGAAGTCCTAATATCACATTGCTATTTAGGCTTCATTTGGGACGACTTTTTTGTTGCTTCTTAAAGCAACTTTCTAATATAAAAATTTTAATTTTTGTACTAAAAAGCTGCAACAAAAAAGCCATCCCCAACGAAGCCTTATTCTCCACACTGTAAGTAGCTGCAAATTATATGGCCTTTCTTTTGACTCTGTAGAAGTTTTGACCACAAAGAAATAACTAAGTCGATTAGTGTGGTGTTACAGAATAAATGTTATGGATAGTTTAAGTTATTGGTTAGTGGTCCACAATTAGCTAATGTTTATTTGATGGTTATTAGGTGTTAATGAGTCTATAAATACTGCCTCGTAGGGTGAATTAGGGCTTGCAAGCGAAATATAGAAGAAACTAAGCTTTGTCTCCACCCCCCAAGGCTACTTAGAGTTGGGGGCATCCTTTAATTGCCCTTCTCTTCTTCTTAATCGAAGTTTTAGATAAGCTCAAATTTATCTAGTTGTCCATGTATTCTTCTTATTTTTTTTCTATTTTTTCTTCAATTTACTGTTTGGGATTGTAGTATAAGGTGATGTAGGATGGCATTTAGATCTTTGCTGCTAAGGATAAAAGTCATAGACAACCATTATATGCCATGCAGAAGGATGAAATGCCAAATTAATCAAATTACCCAAGTAATTACCCAAGTAAATTTGGAATTAAAAGAATGGAACAATGATGGATGCAATGTCAAGGCTAACTTATAATAAACAAATAATAATGCATTTACCTTCTTAGACTTAGTTAGATGACAATCGCAGTTTCTTGATTTCAATATTGAACCGGCTAGCTATGGAAAATCCTGACTTTCAAAGAATGAGAGCTTATGATCCTCAATTTCCTTGTTGTACATGCCCATGACTTGGTTCAATTGTAGATGCTTTGATAATCCCTACTTGAAGTATGGCTGAAATCAAAATCACATGAACAAAAAGATAAAAAAAAAAGCCACTCAAGGAAAATCCAAAGAAGGCAAAACTGATTAGAAGCGGCAATAGAGTTATTCCTCCGCATCTTGGAAACATTAAACTTGGGTTGGGCAAATGACTTCTCATTCATTGATGGTGAACAATTTTCACTCAAGAGTACAATACTCTATCGGTTTAAGTCAAGAGCCCTTCTATAATAGAGTAACACACTTTGAAGAGTCCAATTACACCTCAAAATTTCTCCATGCTCACTCAAGCTATTTGCCAGAATTATATCAGACGAATTCATGCGGTCTAATTCACTAGAAGTGTACCAAAAGCATGATAATAATGCATTGCTGTGTTGTTATGACGCTTATAAACTCAAACACTAGAGTTTATCACCATAAATAGCCGCTTCAACATTAAAAAAATAAATTGAATGGAAACATCTTCTTTCTTCTTAAGATATAGAATTGGAAGTTCGTGTCAGATGGCTCTTGGAGCTGTGTTATATTTCTATTAGATCCCCATCTCTCCCTTCTTGTAGCCCGTTTGACTCACGTTTTATTTAATCTCTGAAGACAGGAGTCGATCGCAAATTTGAAGGAGATCTATCATTTTTGGGCTGTTGTCTTTCTTCAACTTCATCATCATAAATCAAGTTTTAGGTTCTGCACAACAGGGGATCAAAAGAAGTAACTTAAGGCAAAATAATATCAATAATTTGAAATGCTACTGGAAAAATTTAACACTAACCTGACATAATTTTAAGTTCAAATGATTTCCATGAATTCCATCTACCAATAAATATGAATGACTGAGTCTCAATAAAACTCTTCTTAGTTGGTCTATATTAGGCAAGAAAACTTGAATTTAAGCACGGCATAAATTTAACTAACACTGTAGCATAAGCCATAATATAACATCACATGGTTCTGCATTGACTCAGGCTTCGTTTGAGACAGTTTTCTTATTTCTTTTTAAAGCTGTTTTCTAGTATAAAAATTTCTAGTTTAAAAAAATTATATTAAAAAACTGCTTTAAAGGCAATAAGAAAGCCATCCCAAACGAAGCCTCAGTCTATATTAGACGAAAAAATTAGAATTTAACAACGGTATGAAGTTAACTGCCACTGCAGCATAAGTCATAGATATAACATCACATGGTTCTGCATTGACTGCCTTAATAATGAACATCTTCTTCCATTGGCACCTTCATCAACACTATTTCAACTGTCACTCGTGATCCCAGCTTCTTTTTTCTATTAAATTCTCAAGTGATTTTATTCCCTCTATTTCAGATATATCCTACCTCTCTTAGGACCACTGGAGTTGGAACTGCAAGCTCTGTGGGAAGAATAGGAGGGATGTTGTGTCCTCTAGTGGCTGTTGCTTTGGTGCATGGCTGCCATCAGACGATAGCACTTCTGTTGTTTGAACTTGTACTTTTCCTTTCTGGAATGGCTGTTATATTTTTTCCACTGGAAACTAGCGGCAAGGGATTGGCAGATTCTGTGAGGAGTATGAAGTGAAGAAGGCAACTTTTTGGAGCACTTTTTCCTTGTTTCTGTTAGAATTATATGACAAGCTTAGCGAAGAAATCTCAACAGAAAGAAAGGATCTGATTATACCATTTCAAGGTTAGCGATTCAATGTTCTTTTTACATGCTCATGAATGTTTCACATGTTGGTTTTTACTTTTTTTTTATATCTAAAATAGGCAATTTGATGTCCCGAAAGAAATCATCCATTACTTTGTACATACTTGAAATGTATTATTAGAATTTTTATATATTTTTTATCTTGACTCCTAATGGCTATGAATTTGTACTTAAATTTTCATTGTTATTTTTCTTTTTGAGGAAAGTATGAAGTTGATTTTTGGGAACACCCGGATGCGAATTTGTTTCATTGAACATCTTATATCGGGCTTGTTTAACTAAAGTGATTCTTGTATGCCTGGTGCTTTAATTGCTTCATCTATGATTTCCTCCTCAATCATTCTAAGTGGCACACTGTTGCCTAAGGATTCCTTGTTATTAAGAAAGTTTATGTATCATATTGGCATTTAGATTGATGATTAGTTTAGCTATTGTGGGCTTTGAAAATTCGACGCCCCGGCCTCTCGACGCCAGCTCTTTCTTATTTATTTGTTTTTTGTGGGCAAGGAGAGATTTAATGGACTTAGGTTCTCGGTGGATTTTCAGAAGGCAGATTGAGTTTTAGATAAGACACTATCCAGAGATTTCGGCCTCATTTCATGAAGACTTTATAATATGAGTCCTATTTCCTATAGCCACAATTCCCTATAGTTAATTACCCCTCTCGATAACGAGAGATAATTTTCGATTAAGGGTAGTCATAAGATAGGCCCTGAGTATGCATATAATAGCAACAACATTTGGATTTAACTTTGATATTGAAATTTAGAGTTTATGACTTAAAATTTATCACCGTATATGTAAAACTAGTGATGGGGCGAATGAAGAAGAGCCAGATCAAGATCCAATGGTTCCGTTGTCTCGGTCTGTCTTGGTCCCTAGTCTACTTGGTTAGAGGAAGTAGTCAACCCAATCTGATAGAAGGCACCTTATCGCCAGCCAAAATTCCTTGTAGACCTGATGTGATGTTGTCTAAAAGGACGGATTTGAATCCACCTTAACTGTCAGAGGGTTTTAAGACTATCAAATATACCTTATGATTCATTACTCAAGGGTTTGACGACATTAGGAAACATACGGGTTTTGGTCGTGATCGTAATATAATGATGTCATTTTATAGCAAAACCATTCAATCAAAGGGCACATGTCACGTCCCTATTGGCAATAGACTATTTGAGTATGAATCTTAATGATACACCTAACATGACATTCACTTTCTATGAGATGAGGTTAATTTTAATTTTTACCATCCCTACAAATAGTTGCGAAAGGTGGATGAATTTTTAATTTTTAATTTTTTCAGGTGATAGATTTCATTTTATGGATTTAGATTTTTATTGGATTTGAGATTTAACCCCTTCGGTTGATGTTTAACACGGCCATTATTGGGGTGATATTAAAATCACTTTTATTTTTGTAGGAATTTGAGAGACATTTTATGATTCAAGTCAGATCGACTCTAGTCCTTTTATAGAGGAGGATGAAATTTGAATATTTGACCCCCCACAACATTCTCAGAAATTGATGTTTGCAAATTTATCGCATTTATCGGAGCACATGCATCAGTTTAGTTTGAAAATAGAATGTTATAGCAGTGAACATTTAACCTGCACAACATTCTCAGGCATTTGTGTTTGCAATTTTAACACGTTTGTCGGAGCACATGGGGTTGTATTTTCAACATATAGATTGGAGCTATTATAGAAGTATTGTATTCTATCCACTTAATCAAGTGTTGCGGATCCGGTGGCGTATTTAGCGGTGCGTCAGACTTCATTTCATGTTCACCGGCGATGTAATTTAAAATGCTTTGTCTTTTGCATGTTGTCATTTTCTTCAATATTCAGCTTGCATGCGCGTACTTCCGCCGACACATGTTCTATATGACGCATCAGGAGCCTCCTAGTCGTTTGCAAGTGAGATGATATCTGATGTGACAACCTAGTTCCATAAGTTTACTGTTTCAATTTACCATTGGTACATAATTTTCATTGTAAATTCAAAATTCTCCACCATGGCTTGCAGGTGAGTCGTAGCGCTGTGTTATGGAGCGTTTATTGCTTCTTACAGGCAATATTTTTTACTATATAGGCTTTGTTTAACATTGCTTTTTGGTCTAGCGCTAGGTATTCAAGAGTCATCATCCATTGCATGTAGGTGAACTGTGCTTACTGTGAATCTGCTAACATTGCTTGTTGGCGGGTCGTAGTGCTATGTTACGGGTCGCTCATTGCTTTTTTGCAGGCAACACGTTGTGCCATATAAGCTTTGTTGAATTTGCTCGTAGGTAATCCGTAGACATTCAGAAATTACCAACCTAGCTCGTAGGTGGATTGTTGTGTGTATGACAAATCTTCTATAGTGGCTTGTAGATATTTGTATGCATCGTAGCTCATCTGTATTTGTTGAAAGCTTGATTGTTGTTGACTGCATAAATGACCTGACATTTATTGCATGTTGCCTGTATATGCCTGCAAGGAATATCGTCATTTGTAGGCAGGTTTATTGTATTCATTTTTATATTAATATGGACTGCCGACGAATTACTACATCCATCCTGTATGTCAATTCCCATTGTTCACAAGGGATTCACAATCCTTACACTATGTCTATTATTGTTGCTTACAGTCGCCAAATTTAGTGCGTTCATTTGACTGCTGGATAGGTTGCACTTATCATTAATCTCCTTATACATGTTAGTTGGCAACGTACTTTATTCATTATGTTTTTGACTTTCAGTATTCACAAGGAACTGATATATTTGCTTGCAAGTTGATTATATCTGAAAAATTTGTCCGCCACGAGTAATTGCTTACAAAATTGCATTTGATTTTTATTATTTTGTGACTTATATTTTTATGTTGATATTAAGTTATGCTCCTTGTGATTATATTTAGTTCAAAATTCAATAGCCTCCCAGCATTCCCTCCCTGCAAAGGGAGGTTGGGGAGGCACTTGTCTTTCAATCATCTTGCTTAGATCTAAAGATACAATGACGCGAAGTCTTTGCATTTGCAATCATCCCGCTAGGATCTAAGGTACAACTGTGCGAGACTTTCAAATTTAAAATCATCCACCCGGATCAAAGATCACGGCGCAATTCTTCGAGTTTAAAAACCATACTGATCAAATCTAAGATCAATGACGCTAGGTTTTCCACTATATATACATACATATATATATATACATATATATACATACATATATATACATATATATACATACATATATATACATATATATACATACATATATATACATATATATACATACATATATATACATATATACATATATATATATATATATATATATATATATATACATATACACACACACACATATGTATGTATGTATATAGGGTAGAGAAATCAGACGTCGGGGTAGGGCACAACTCTCGAAGTTATGTGAGTCGGTCGGCGACATGGGTTCAGCAATCGGTGAGTTCGGCAATAGGAAGGTCCTTGGTTGGGATTCAGGCATAGGGCATAGTGATATGAGGGGTCAGTCGGCGTGAGTTGGCGGCTGCGTGCAAACAGTAGAAAGACGAGCGATTTGGGTAGAGAGGTCGGAAGCAGCTTCAATTTTGTCTGTGTCTTTAAGTTTCGAAATCCTTAGCCTTTGAATGCATCGCCCCTTCCATTTCTGCCTTGCGTGGTTTTATTTTTCGTGTGAGATTGTGGGGAGCGGTTGTCGAATTATGGGACCGTGGGAGCTGTCGAGGTGGGTAGTGGGAGCTGGTTTTGCAATAGTTTGGGATCAACAAATGTCTCCCAACAAATATGATCTGCGTAAATATGATATGCGTAAATATGATATGCGTCCTATAACAGATCATATTTGTTGCTAAATGGTTGACCCTACTAACTTCCAAAATTAGATTTTAGATGTCACGCTGGGAATTTTTAGAAATCTATAATAGCTATATTAATAAAGTCTATCATTTATCTGATGCTTTGTATTATTTAGATGTGCTAATTCGTCTTATCTGACTTGTTAGATACCTGATTTGTCTTACTTGACTTGTCATGATTTTAATATATCTTCAACGTTAGCCTCCAATCTTAACAGATGTAATGATGGAGGTTGCCTGACTTATCTTCTCAATTTATGAGGAATAAAACTTACCTTCTGCCCTAGCTTGATGCTTTGGTGGGCTTGGCGAAAGAGTGTTTGCTGGTGGCCTAAATCCTCTGGACTTGTATTACAATAGCTAGTACTTTTTTTAACATGATTTGTTGAATTTATCAGACTAAAAAGTCTCCTTAATTAAACTTCTAAATTTTGACAAATTTGAAATGTGTCTTCAACCTTTGCAATGACCGCATATTTACTTGAAGATATTAGCTTCTGCCATGCATTCATATAGTGATAGTATCATGTGTGATTTTAAGTATTTATTTGGGGATCAATGTTAACCTAAATAAATATTTAAAATGTCCAATGTCTTAAAGAAAAATTTTAACTGTCATTAGATTTTTTTTTTAAATGCCCCCTGTCATGTAGGAGAATTTCTAAGACATCTTAGAAATATATTCTTTCTTTGTAAAGGGAATGATCTTCGACTTGTTTTTCTAAGAATGTATTTTTTCATATAACTATCATTGATCTGGGGTATAGGTCGCCGACCTTCCAAATTAGTGAGTTGATAGGCTCCTCTCTTATATACCTTCTTGATGATAAAAGAGCCTTCCCAATTTGATCTCTCCCTTTGAAAATCCTTTAGAACTTGTCTTTATGAGAAGCCTCTCACAGTACTCACAAAGATTTTCTTAGGAATTTTTCTTATGTCCAAAATTCATAATCTCTTTGTAGCAGTCGCAGGTATACTCTTTTCATTCCTCTCAAAACATTGATCATGGTTTTTTTTTTCACATCCACTATGGAATATCTATGAAGCTCATCTTGGTCTGTTGGTTGTGAGCTTTGATTACTAATCAAGAGATCTTGGTTTCGAGTCTTGAGTATGTGAGGTATGTGTTAGTTTGCCTTAATTGGACTAAATGCCCAAAAAAAAAAGGAAAGAAAGAAAACTGTGGAATACCTTAAGTGCACGCTTGCTCATAACAATCCACTAAAACATTTGTGCTTCCAAACTCTCTTGTGAACTAATTAGGTCACCTTGGTCTGTTGGTTTTTTTTCGCATCCACTATGGAATATTTATGAAGCTCACCTTGGTCTGTTGGTTGTGAGCTTTGATTACCAATCAAGAAGTCTTGGTTCCGAGTCTTGCGTATCTGAGGTGTGTGTGAGTTTGCCTTAATTGGACTAAATGTCCCAAAAAAAAAAAAAAAAAAAAAAGAGAAAGAAAGAAAACTATGGAATACCTTAAGTGCACACAAGTATATTGCTCATAACAATCCACTAAAACATTTGTGCTTCCATACTCATAAAATCTCTTGTGAATTAATTAGGTCCACTGCCTCTCTGCTTTAAACATTTTTGTATTTCATAAAATCCTACATTTCGCATCCACTATGGAATATCTATGAAGCAGGCCAATTTGTACAAGTAGACAAGATATGAGGATTAAAAGATAATAGGCTACAAATGAGAGTGATGGAAAATTTAGTATAAGTTATTGCACTCAACACAATAGGACAAAAACATGATTTGCAATAATCAACTATTTAACATACAATCATATGCAATTAACTAAAATATGCAATATATATATATATATATATATATATATAGATGTAGATATTAAAAATAATAATATTATTATATGGTTTATCATCAATTAATTTGCATCCATGTATAATCCCCACAAAGAATATAATTCCACTAACAAATTTAAAACTATAAGCCTAAGTCCAATTCTTTTCACTAGATGGAGATGCCTTTACACTAGTTATTGAAGTGAAAGAGCACTTTCTATTTGATTTGGAAAGCACATTTGAGTTTCAAACATGATGCTTCATTATGTTTTACATGTCACAAATTTCTAAGTATTATTCATTATTTTGAAAATCAGATTGGACCAGTCGGTTCAATAAGTTCAACTGGCTTACTAGTCTTGGCTATTTCAATAATTGGTTTCACATTGAACCCAAAAAAATTTGGTTCGACTGGCGAATCCTTGAAGTTGGAGATGCCTATACAGTTACTTATTCAAGTAACATAGCACTTTCTACTTGATTTGGCAAGCACACTTGAGCTTCACATATAAATATATTAAGTTTCACATGTCACATACCAAGGTTTAAAGCCTAACTCCAATCCAAGGTCATGAAAATCAAATCGGACATAGAATTAGAAGAAAGAAATGTTCAGGTTCAAACCGAATGACAAAATAAATATTAAAATTATTTAAATGACATAATATTGATGTAATAATTATGTAAAAAATATAATTTTTTTACTAATAAATAAATAAATAAAATTT